TAACCGTTACCCCCTTACCCCCCCCCCCCACCCCCTACCCCCCCCCCACCCCACCACACACACACAAAAAAAAAAAAAAAAAAAAAAAGAACACTCTGTAGCTTTTGGTTCTCATGGTTGGAAAAATCTATAACAGACATCTATTGAATCCAAAATACAGATAATAAAGACAAGGAAAGGAGAAATCATCAAACAAGATAACTTGCCCTTGTTTCAGCCAAACAAAGAGTGCAACCCCGTACTCGAGTTATTGAAAGAAAAAGGAGGTAAAGGCAACTAACAAGAGAAAATAGTTGCATTATCACACAATTTGGAATGGATATGTAGGTCTCTAGGAACATTTATTGCTAAGTACATCTGCACTTAACCTGAAAGATATATATCAGACAGTACTTCAATATCTTATCTTGATTGCATATTGTTACTGAAACATTATGTTCCGTTGACAGAGTAATATTGTGTTTGTCCGAGCCTTCAAGGCAGCGAAAGGAAGGGTAAAAGCAGAGACTTAGGAACTCTAGTACTCCAGCAACAATTCACTTGGTACTAATGGTAACAAAATAGCACCAAATTCAGCTTTCTTTCAATTTTTCTCCAACTTAAGTCAGTACCTTATCTTCCACAATCCAAACTTATCTTGTCCATATTTTCCCAGGCTCGTCCGTTAGAATACTAATCATGAATCTGCCCTAGAAATTCTTGCTAGTGTTGCTAAAGCGAAAAACACCGGAAACTGCCAAAATTGGTTGGGAGATTAAGCTCAAAGTGCACGCTTTAGCGAAGAAAGGCGTATAATGAAGAACTGAAGCACAACACAACATCAATAATAGCAGTAAAGGGATTGAACTAAACTTGCATGTGTCATTCTCTTTTAGGATAGGAATAATAAACTTCTTGTGTCATGCAAAAGAAGAAGGCAATATCTTGTGGCTACTATGGTAAAGCTAAACTAGATGCTATCTCAAGTTACTGAAATTGCTCTTTATCAAGACGAGAATCTTCACACAAAAACAAATATAGAAACAAAATTGAAATGTTGACACTCTATAGGGGTCGTTTAACTGTATTTCTAACATATGACTTTCTGTCTATTATGGTATTGGTCAAAATTAAGCAAGATTTTCAGAGAGGGTAGAAAAGAACTGCATGTTCTCTTGACCTTGCAAATAACGACTAACAACTGAATATCTTGAGTTAATAAAATCTCCAGCTTTTTAATACACTAAAGAATTTTTAATGATTCTTTGCAAGCCCAGTTGTTTTCCTTTTACACACCCCAATATAATTCTTCTTTTTCTCCTCCAAGATAAAGGCTGTTAAGTAATTGATTTCAAATATAGCAAATTATTTTTAGTGAAGTGTCTTGATATCCAACTTACATCATGCCACCATTAGGTAAGGTATGATAGGCTAATTGGAAATGTTTTACCAGTTTAACTATGGCATTATTTTGATAGGTGAGAAATCCTCAGGGCTAGTGGTGCACAGTCTGCAACTCGATGAATAATGGGCTCGCCCTCTACTCTTCTCCACTTAAATACCAAACTTTCCTCTACGACGGGTTTGAACCCTGGATGTGCGCCTAACTGACGCATCACACGTTGCGCTCTTACCATAGACCAAAGCCGTAGAGTCTAGTTTAACTATGCTAATTGGGTTTTTACCTATTCAACTTTTCTCCATTCTTGCTAATGGGGTGTTTGGGGGGGGAGG